CCCGGGGGAGCGCCCCCCCCAATAGCCACTCGCCCTGTGGGCCGAGAGCCTGTGCTGTGGCCTGGGGAGCCCCCTGCCACACGTGGGCAAGATCCGATTGAGCGTGTGCCAGCGAGCTGCGAGCCGCACACCTGCCAGGCCGGAGCAGCGCTGGGTCCAGGAGGTCAGGTCTGTTGGTGGCGCCGATCACAAATACGTCTCTGGTGGAATGAAGCCCATCGAGCTCTGCTAGCAGCTGGGAGACGACCCTGCCAAGGGCAAGAGAGGAAGGGGAAAGGGACGGACACTCAGGAGTTACTGGGAATCCCACCGGGTCGGCGCTGCAGGCCTCAGCTCAGACCAAGGCCCCACTGCCCCGGGCACGGCGCAGACTCGCTGCAGGAGACAATCACTGCCCCACGTTTATAAAAGCTAAACAGACGAGAGAGAACGTGTAGTGTTGTGGCTCACCCAGCAGCATGCCTGCCCAGCCTGCACCCAGCACCTACAGCGTGCCTGCCCAGCTGCCCCAGAGAGGCACTACCTGCCCCTCTTGAGACCCACAAGCGTATCTAACAGTGCACAGCCCAAGACCAGCAAGAACACAAGTGGCCTTGTGGTTAACGCACATTCCTGGCTCTGCCAGACTCACTGTGTAATCTCAGGAAAGCCCCTTAATCTCTCTCAGCCTCCATTCCCAATGCTGCCCTGCCCCCCAGCATGTGGGGAAGATACACACTGGTGTCTGTGAAGTGCTCTGGTGACGGGCCATAGACAGACAGACACACATGTCTGTGGATCATGTTCCCTGCAGAGATGTTTACGAATCACAGCTGAGAGCAGGAAGAAAGCCAATGTGCCAATAGTTAAAAAGGGTAAACAGGAGGCCGGGGTAATTATAGCCCTGCCCGCCTGACATCGATCCTGCGCTAGACAGCAGACTGGCTGAGACGGGACTTGAGTAATAAAGAATTAAAGCAGGGTAAGATCATTCATGCCAATCCACATGGCTTTATGCAAATTGGATCCTGCCAAACGAGCCTGGTATGTGTTTTTGGTGCGATTATACATTGGGTTGATAAAGGTAATACTCGTCACGGCGTAGTCAGGGACCGGCACTGCGGCACGTTTAGATTAACAAGCTAGAATGACAGACGATTACCAAGGCACACATTAAACAGATGAAATGCTGAGAGGTCTCAAACAGTATTTGTAAACATGGAGGCTACGTCTAGACTGGCAGGATTTTCCGGAAAGGCTTTTAATGGAAAAGTTTTCCGTTAAAAGCATTTTTGGAAAAGAGCATCTGGATTGGCAGGTTAATGGAAAAGTTTTCCGTTTTTTGCGGAAAAGCGTCCGTGCCAATCTAGACGCGCTTTTCCACAAAAAAGCCCCGATTGCCATTTTCGCCATCGGGGCTTTTTTGCAGAAAACAAATCTCAGCTGTCTACACTGGCCCTTTTGCGCAAAAGGACTTTTGCCTGAACGGGAGCAGCATAGTATTTTCTCAAGAAGCCCTGATTTCTTACATGAGATCGTCAGTGTTCTTGTGGAAATTCAAGCGGCCAGTGTAGACAGCTGGCAAGTTTTTCTGGAACTTTTTCGCGGACGGAAAAGCGGCTGATTTTCCGGAAAAACTGGCCTGTCTAGACACAGCCGGAATCATTATCGAACGGGTGCATTTCCTGTGGGACTGGCTCGTGGCCCCTGGGTTATTTCACATTTCAACCATCTGGAAGAAAACAGCATTATCGCTGACAACGTTTGCAGATGACACAAAAGCTGGGGAAGTGGTAAAAAACGCAGTGGACAGGTCACTGATTCAGAGTGATCTGGGTCGCTTGGTAACCTGGGCAGAAGCAAACAATACACCTTTTGATGGGCTAAATGTAAGGGTACGTCTAGACTACAGAGCCTCTAGACTACAGCCAGTTCTGTCGACAAAGCAAGCCGCTTTGTTGACATGACAGTGCAGACACAAAGGACAGTGTAGATGCAATAACGCCTTCTGTGGACAGAACCCTGTTGACAGAAGGTGTTATTCCTCCTAGAATGAGGTTTTCAGCCGTCGACGAAACTGCCGAGTTCTGTTGACGTCATGTCGACAGAACTCGACAGCAGTGTAGACACAGGTGTAGTTTTGTCGACAAAACCCTGTAGTCTAGACACACCCTAAGCGTCTACACCTTGAAGCTGGGACCCTGGAAAAGCTTTGGGGGTCACAGTGGATAATCAGCGCTCAGTGCCACTGTGGCCACAAGGGCTAATGGGTCCTGGGAAGCATCCAGAGGGGAATTTCACGCCGGAGCAGAGAGGTTATTTTACCTCTGCCCTTGGCACTGGCGCCAGTGCTGCTGGAATAGCGTAGCCAGGGCTGCTGTCCAAAGCACAAGAGGGATGTTGATAAATGGCAGAGGGGCGAGAGAAGAGACACGGGAATGATCGCAAAGTTAGAAAACCTGCCTGACCGCGATGCAGCCCCGGCTCCCGATCTCTGTGCGTGTAACAAAGGGCAAGGGGTGAGTGGATCGCGGGGGGGAAGCATGTCACAATGGGCTCTGCAGCCTAGGAGACACAGGCGGAGCGTGATGCAGGGACTGGCAATGGAAGCCAGACAAAGGCGGTGTACGTGTACCAGGGAGAGGAAATCACGGGTGGCGTCTCCTCCCTGGCAGGTTTTACCCCAAGGCTGGGTGTGTTTCTAACACTCTGCTCGCGGGATTATTTGGGGGCAGGCCTCTGGCCTGTGCTACCCAGCAGGTCAGACTCAACCACCCCCAGGGGCCCGCCTCACCTTGGCATTGATGAACCTGCCCCGCGGGGCGCTTGTGTGCCGTGAGCTCGCCGGCATGGCACCACTGTCAATCAGACCACGTGCACCTCGCGCCACAGGTGGGCTGGCAGCAGCCCTGTGGATCCCCTGCTGCGTCTGTTCCAGCCAACAACCTCTGCTCCTAGGCTCACAAGCAGAAGCCAGACACGGGAAGCTACCCTCACCCTGGGGCTGCCTCGTCAGGCCCAGCCCAACCCAGCCACACCTCCTGCAGAGCACTTCCAGTTACCCCTCCCTCTGCCCCCTACACTGTCAGAGCCACCCGCTCCCCCCAGGCCTCCTGCCGCACCCCGTGGCAGTCAGGCCTGCGCTTGCCCTGCTGAC